AAGCATGGACATGATTGTGGGGAAGCCGTAAACGACCAGCGGTTACGTGAAAGACTCTATAATAGCGAGGAGTCCAGCAATCCTCTCCCACATAACTATCCCTTATTGGATTTTAAACTAAAAACCACACAAGGTAATTGGGAGTTTGGTTACAAAGATATAACTTAAAATTATCACAAGGCACCAACCACCGAACAAATTGGAGTTTGGAAAATTATCCTTGAATACACAATGGTATGGTCAACACTTACCTACACAAGTGGGCACTTCCCCCCAGGTTCCGTTTTCTTCGCATTTTCCAATGTTTGGTCCTTGAAGAACATATCCAGCATTGCATGAATATTTGATTGTCTGACCAAACTTGGGGTCATGTGTGGTCATAGTGTCTACAGTACCGTTGTCTGGAGTTTTAGGTGCTGGGCAGGTACGTACTGTAACTAAACATTAGAACAATATAGGATGCAGACTGCAGACCAGACTTTTTTTTAAATTTTACTAGCCTGGATGAGCAAACTACGAAATATATTATTAGAGTGAAAAATGGCCACACCAACCTGTACTCTGTTCGACTTTTGTAGTTTGTGGGCGAAAAGTAGAGAAAAAGGCTTCCTTAGTTGACCAGAGGGATGTAGCAGGGACGGTTGAAGTACGGGCCGAAGTACTTTTCTTGTCTTTGAATCCTATGTGAAAAAGTGAGTTTATATTAGAAGTTCATCGTAAGATATGTATATATAGTCTTTAGTACTTTTAGGTAAGAATGAGTTACTGAACGGCAATGTGGATATATTACCGATTACTATGACTGAAGAGGACTATTTTAATATCTATTCTAGTGCATGCAATACCGAAAGAACATATATTTTCATACCCTCAGAGGTGGTAGTTTCTTTGACACTCGCAACAGAGAGCGTGGTCGTTTCTTTGACACCTGCAAGTGAGGGCGTGGTCTTTTTTCGGCACCTGCAGCAGAGGGCGTGGTCGTGTATTTGACACCTGCACCAGAGGGCGTGGTCGTTTCCTTGACATCTACAACAGAGGGCGACACTGAGTACGTCTCTGATTCTTCCATCGTCTAATTTTTCAGTTAAAGCTGCGAAACCTAAATAAAAACACAATTTGAATTAAGCCGTCAGTTTCACAATCCGTATTCAGTGAATTTTTTTATCAGAAGATATGAACCTCCCTTTTTCTGGTTGAAAAGGAATTTGAGATGAATATTGCTAAACTACACGTCATGATGTGATTGTTTAAAATGGCGCAATTAAAAATATAAAATGGTTCGAAATTTTTCTAATGAAACGATTGTTTGGGGGCATCGGACCGTTTGACAAATTGGAAAGTAGCAATCGATTTTCAATTTTTTTTTATCGTGGAAACAAACCTTTCAAAGCATTCTGTTCGTCTTTTGTGCACTGTCCCGTCTGAAATAGAGCAAGATAGATGTCTAAATATATAGATATGTAGGTTGCACAACCGTGCAATACGCCCTTTGCTGAGCATGTGTTCCTATACGTCGTGAAAATATGCGATAAGCTATCGATTAAAGTAAGTTTTAAATTTCCAGTACTTATAGATGAAAGAAATAGCTAAAACGTTCAATTTTCTCATTTTGTTTTCAGATTTCAAACAAAATAGGTATATTGCTACAAACAATACCAACAATATGAAACTACTGCTAGAGCTCTCACCGTATTAACGTCTCTCCAAGTAGGTTGCCCGTCGCAAACCATAGGCGCCCAGCATTTCTCACCTGTTAAATTAAAATTAGAAATTGATCAAAATTGTTCAATTTTAAATAGATTTAAAAAAGATAAACAGAAATCATGTCACTGAACTTTTTTCATAACGATACTAACTCAATACGTATTTCCTTATGGCGCGAATCGATACCCGCGATTCAATTACTGCTTTCAGAGGATAGTTTCAATTTTTCTGGCGAGCAGATCTTAGAAAAGTCAAATCCCTCATAATTTGCTGCTTTCGGCTTTTTGTCTCGGATTTAGATAGTTCCGGGTAATTGTGTAGTTTATTTAACACCCTTCGATGGTTTTTATTGGACGTTTCATCCGTCTTTCTTCCCGAACAATTCGCTGTGTGAACGGCAACTGATACGAAATTAGCTGCTGTATTTGGGACGGGCAGCAATCTGGTCGATTCGGCCTTGCTTATTCAATTTTTCACACCCTAGGTGAGATGGTGGGTATAAAATTGAACCAGAGATTTTACTACGCGATGACAAAATTTTCGAGTTAATCGCTTTATCAATGGGCCACCAGGCCCGCTAATCTACAACCAAATTTTTAAATCTGAACATAACATTTCGAATGTATATTACAATATCAAAAATTTAGTTTCAAAAACTAAAACATTCCAAATGTGGTGATCCTCTCCTTAGAGATCCTAAAACTAAAGCGCTGTGTCGCACATATATAAATCCATACTATGATGAAGGAACGGAAATTTAACACGATCTACGGCACGGCAGCGGCAACGCATTGAATACGAACAATCATCATTTATTTTTCGTTTCAATGACGGTTTCCGCATTTGGAGTGCAACGAAAGTTTAGTTAGATTCTCTCTGTACCCAATCCAACATTTAATAAGAGATCGAGGTTTGCCATATCTTTACACCGTCATACTGGTCTCCTCCACGTCGGATTAAATAAATATTCTTTCTGATACAAATATGTAATCCGAGCAGCAATAAAACAGAGTCAGGCATGCAAGCAAACCCAACAGAGTATGCGCGGTTATACTAACCTTTAATGAATGGAAATGTCTCGATAAACATAAGAAGAATGTATTGAATCGGAATCTTCATTTCGAATCCAAGTTTTTAGTCAACTTTTCTTCAATGAAGGCCGATTCCCAATTTCCGAACAGCATAGGTTATAATGAAGCCTCAATCTATTCGCATCGGAATATATCCTATGCAAGCTCACTCACTACTCTAGAGTGAAAAGAGAATTTTTTTTTTTTTCAATTTTAGGATACCTCTTGCGTCACAAAAAAAGAGAGTTGGTAAATGCTGCTATTTCTATCTTTATGAAACGATGATGACCACGGCACTACCACGCCCGTAAGAGTGATATTGTGTTGAACTCGTTAGCAATGGTTAGGATGTGCAGAATCTGATGCCAGGGTTATGCTAGTTTAAAGCGACAAAAGTATCAAACGCCTATTTTCTGAAATCGAACAGGTCAAAAAAGTTAAAAACAAGTTGAACAGGTTATCATATTATTTATATCAATTACTCAAAGTTTAATTTAACCAGAAAAAGCAGTGATTATTGTTGTGTTATGCAACTTGGCCGCTGCTCATGTGCAATCGTTGAGACGGTTTTCTGCATAGCTATTTTGTTTGCCGTTAATATAACATTATGTAAAGCAAATTTAAAACTGAATATATCAGTCAAGGACCTGATTATGATATTACCCAAAGGATCGTCTAGATTTCTCTGGAAACTGAGACAACACACATGATAATGTACCATAATACCGCAATCCAAGGGCATATAACACCTTGAGCCCTGGCTTTGATGACAATTTTGATCAAAGTACGTTCTACAGTTCTCTCAAAAAAGAGAAAATGCACATACAAACTCGTGAAAATATCGTGATTTAGGAACATACAGCACGCTCGATTTTAGCTCTGCTTGAAATTTCAATCGATACACACATGATAATGAATCGATATACCGCGAATCAGCAACATTTATACACTTTGACGATATTTGCATACGCTTTATTGTTGAAATATATTTCAGAGTGATGTTTTTTCACCACTTGTAGAGAGCGTGGGGAGAGGGAAATCACTGTTTCTCGTGATTTATGGACAATTGCTGTTAGCTTTAGCCGAAGTTTCCAGGGATATTTTTTTCTTTATAATAAAACATGTTCAACTGGTAGAAAGCAAACAATACAATTCAGTAAATGTTTTGGATGTTAATTCCAGGGATTTTAAAGCCTTTGAGACTTAGGTAGAGCTGTAATATTTGGTTTAAATTGTTTTACAATGATTAGAATGTGCAAAATGTGGGTTATGTCGGGTTATCCTAGTTCAAAACGGCAAAAGTTTCAAACGCTCATTTCCCAAAATAAAACAGGTCAAAACAGTTAAAAACAAGTTAAACAGATTAACATATTATTTATATCGATTACTCACAGTTGAATCAGAAATATCAATGAGTATTGTTGTGTTATGCAACGTGGCCTTTCTCTGCTCATGTACAATCGCTGAGACTGTTTTCTAATAGCCATTTTGTTTGTGTCTATATAACATTATGTAAAGCAAATTTAACACTGAATATATCAGTCAAGGATCTGATTATGATATCAATCAAAGCGCTATCTAGATTTCTCCCAAAACTGAGACAACACACACGATAATGCAACAAAATACCGGGATTAGAAGATATTTAACACTTTGACTTCTGGCTCTGTTGACAACTGAAATCCAAGTAATTACTACAGTTCTCTTAAAATTGGGATAATTCACAAACAGACTTAAGAAAATATCGTGATTCAGAAACAAACAGCACTCTCAATTTCAGCTCTGCTTGACATTCACAATTGCTGTTAGCTTTATCCGACGATTCCGAGATTTTTTTTCTATTCTAATAAAACATGTTCAACTGGTAGAAAGCAAACAATACAATTAAGCCAATGTCTTAGATGTTAATGCCAGGGGTTCGCAAGCTTTTCAGTTGGGAGGTAATATTTGGTTTAATTTGTTAGCAATGGTTAGAATGTGCAAAATGTGATGCCAGGGTTATACTAGTTTAAAAAGGCAACGGTTTCAAATGTTCATTTCCTGAAATTAAACAGGTTCAAAAAGGTTAATACGAGTTGAACAGGTGAAGTACCTGTTTATGATATCAATCAAAACACTATCTAGATTTCATCCAAAACTGAGACAACACACTCGATAATGCAACAAAATACCACGATTAAAAGACATGTAAAACTTCGACTACTGGCTCTGTTGACAACTGAAATCAAAATACTTTCTACAGGAATCTTAAAACCGAGATAATACACATACAGCCCCATAAAAATACCGTGATTCAGGGACAAACAGCACGCTGGATTTTGGCTTTGCTCAAAATTTCAATCGAAATTCTCTCCCCCATATTTCTCTGAAAACTGAAACAACGCAAATAAAAATGCGTTGAATTACCTTGAATCAGGGCCAAAAACTCGCTGAATTTTCCGTTTCCATAATTGGTGATCACTTAACCGAGTGATTTCAACTTGAAAGCGGGACTCCTAGTCGGTCAGATTGACCAGATGTAACCAAATTAAATCTTCGTGTTGATATCATTAATTGCCCTTGCAGTGGCGTGGCATCCACCCCCGCAACCCCCGCGGTCGCTTGGGGGGGTTAAGCTGCAAAATCAAAAGCTGCATTGCAAAACCAGTAATGCACATCTTATAATGTTGATGTCAGTTCTGCTCAGATCGTTTTGTTACGTCACAATGCCAGCTGGCGAAGATGGTGAATGAGTTTGCTAACGCGGAAACGCAAATTTTAGGTTGCCATTGCCTTTTTATACCGACATGTTATTCTTTTTGACGAAATAAAAAAAAACGTTGTCTTAGCTTATGTCCGAGAGTTTTTAGGGTCATTTCCACGAAATATTTTTGCGGGAGGGCCCATGGGAGTCTTGCTACGCCACGGTGCCCTTGTCCTCCGCCCAACTGATGAATTCTTAAAATCTCTCCCAAGTTTTAATAAGCATAATTCTTTCCTCCAATGCTCGCAGCACGCTGTCTTTTGAGATTTCACAGTTTGCCTGCAAAGCCGTGAATGACACATTGTTGCGTCACAATCACAACAACGCAACATCAGTAAAAATCTACGTTTCATTTGGCATCTAGTTTCAATCGGCACGTGTTTTCCTCTTGTGGTAATGAAGGATATTAAAAATAGCAGCACACAAAATCTCGACTACCGTTTAAGTAACCATGGAAATCTTATCGTGAACATCTGGGGGTTCACGAATCCCGGGTTGATACCCCCTGTAATAGAGATTAACACCCACCCCTCGACAAATTCTAATCTATTTGTAAAACTTTTTTATTAAGTCAAACTCAAAATTCCTTATAATTTAAAGGTGTACTATTCTCCTCAGTTTACGTTACTCCACTTATGCCCCCTTTAAATTGAAAATATAAAAAACTCGTGCTCCCTTCCTACCTGTCTCCTGTCATCACCTTGATTTGATGTGCTGTCAACTTTCACTTTATCATTGCATGATTACTTGATCTGATCCGGAGTCTCCCTCTGAACTACCGATTAAATGACTGATCGTTATCTAATCTAATCTTCTAATCTCCAGGTCTACGATCCAGTGAACCCAGTCCCACCGTATGATAAGATGACAAAAGTCAGCAGTTGGTTGACACTTTATTTCCTAACTCAAGTATAATTGTATTCAAATATAACGACTATGGCATATTTATCAGTGTAGATGAGGGGTTCTAAACCGCAGTCTGCGGGCCAATTACGGCCGGCGTGACGATTTAAAATGGCACGCCGAACTTGAGTGAAATAGTTTAACCCTTTATGTGGTAACTTTTAGATACCGTCTATTGTTACATCATTATCACAGTTTAAGCACGTTTATTTCGTAACAATTGAATTATACCGCTATCTTATGTATACGTATGGGTATTAGGATTACACACTTCAGTATTTTAGATATTTGCCGCATATTAAGAAAGCTTAAAGATGTCACAAAACGAAAACTAGGCACTGAAAACAGACGTTTTTTAGATGAATGACAGCGTTTTTATTTCTTTATTGAAAAGAATCAAACTTCAGCGATTTGTCTTCTTACCAACAAAATATTTCAGTTCTGAAGGAATACAACATTATGCGCCATTATGATCAGTTGACGCGCGTATTTCAAAATTTAATTCATTGCTTAATTCATACAAAAGTCAAACACACATGTTCAAAAAAATGTGAAATGTGTAACAAAACAAGCCATAAGTAGCCATCAACGACTAACATACCGTAGCCATTCATACAATGCCAGATGAGCAAGTAACTCCATTAGTCACTATCAGTTGCAAATTACTTGTTGAAACGTAGTAGTATATATACATACCATATTTACGGCTGAAAGCCGTGCTTGTTATCTATTTCCCGAGAATTTTATCAGCTAAATATTATAATTATTGATTTTATTACATAACTAACCGCGATGCTAGGTGTATCTAAAATCAAGCTTAGAGCCTATTTTGGTGCCTATTTCTCAAAATTTTCTCAGGCCGCTTAAGCGCGCCCTGAACCCCAGCCGGTCGTCCCGCACTTTTCCTCACTCCTCTTTTCTGGCTCTACAATTTTATTCTGCTGTGGATTTTGGCTCGCCGTAAATCAACTTGATGGGCCCCTCATGTACATCGTTTCTTAAATACATACCATTTTTTTAAGGCTCTCGGATTCAAACTTCAAAACGTCGCTCCTGATCCAAAGATTGATGATAGACAGAAGGTGAGTCAGATTAAACTAATATCTAAATCAGAAAATGGCGGTAGGTTCAAAACCAATGTCCACCTTTTATAATGCCTTTTGGTCAGGTTTCCAAACTGGGGTTTTGTCAACCTCCTTACATGGCTGTGTAAGCCTTTCCGTTTATATTTCACTGATTGACTACTTCAAAATGTTACCCAAGCTTGGTGTCCCAAACTCATCATCATAAAACAAGAAATTCAGCTCATTTGTTCATAGTAATTTCATCGACTTATTTACCAACACATAGACTGGAACGTGGCCACATTTTATCCAAGACTTGCAGATTTTAATCCAATGGGATATGGTCATGTGGAAAAAGAGCTGCTAGACTTCTCATGGTTGACGAGAGGTTCAAACAGCCATCAGCTGCCACACAATGTTCATCATATAGTAGTCAAACAACAATTTTTATGAATGTTTTCTCCTCAAAGCAAATGTACGGATGCTCTATTAACCAATCAGAACAGCCTAAATTAAATCAGTCATTGGTACATGATATGACCAAGCCTTTTATTGTTTTTGTAACAAATTAACCAATAATTTTGGAAATAATGACATCAAGACTGAAAATAATCCATCCCTAACCCAGATAGCACAACTACGTCGGAACAACCATGGCCGAACGTTGTTCGAACCACCGGCCCAATAATGGCGAACAACCATGTTCCAGCGAATATTTGGCCGCTGGGCCAACGTCGGTCCTTTCGCTGTAATGCAACCGTGGCAAACGGTCGGGCCAACGTAGGCGATACGTTGTAACACAATCGTGAAATATGGCCGGTCCAACGTGGGCGATACGTTGTAACACAATCGTGACATATGGCCGGGCCTACGTAGGCGACACGTTCTAATACAATCGTGGCATATGGTCGGGCCAAGTTAGGCGATGTGTTGTACAGACAGGGTATGGATCTATACTACATAGAAATTTCCCCCTAATCTAACATTATTTATATAATAAAATACAAAAGATAACAAAATGTCTTTATTTTACAAATATGTATACATGTAATATAATTAATCGGAGTTCGTTGCCAGATCATCCAGAGCTGAAAATATAAAAATTCTGTGTTAAATTGGAGTATTAGCAAATTACAGCACCAGAGTTCAAAGCCTAGTCTGAATGACTGCATCCCAACAAATTTTCAGAGTAGGAATCTTAAGCCAAGATTCTGCAGTCGCAAATGTGTGAGTGAAGCTTACATTGACAAGACGATAATAATTGAGAAATACAGAAATTCTTGATTCCGCAAGGGGGGCGTAGACAACGTTTTGAGGGGAATATTTGTTGGAGGGAATAATGATGATTTGAGATTTTATCTGACTAAAATGTCTTGAAATATTCCTTGTTGAAATTCATCTATCTTATTAGAAACATCATGCACCATGATTAGTCTATTTGTTTAATTGATTTACAATAAATTTAGTTGTAACTTCATCATTTGCTGTTGTGCTAGGGGGGGATGATAATTTAAAAAGTACTGTAAGGGAGCGATGATACAAATAAGTTCGGAAACCACTGTTCGCCATTATGCACCAAACTCTGGCAACATTGGATTGGCAATTTGGCACTTGACTCTAACCATAATCAGCTTGGCGATATCTCCTTAATAAATATTTTTCAATACTGTTCACTTTTGTATTCAAAATCTACATTCAATTTCTTTACTGTCCACAGTTGTTTACAAAATCATTATTCAATTTGACAATCATAATGATAACAAGAGAGCTACGCACAAATATATGGACACGTTAGACCAGAGCGAATCAGTCCTTACCGGTACCTTTGACGCTACCGGTACCCTCAAAAAAGTTCTGAATTTCCAGTAGCAAGAATTTTGCAGAATCAAAACGTACAGCCAGTCATGACACTGACTAAAATCCGTGTTCCCATGGATAAAAAATAATACAGCAAAATTTTAGACGAAATATCAAATTTCATAGAATTCACGCAGAATTTTGAAATAAATAAAAGTAATAGCCTTCTAGCGAAAAAATTAATCTTTAACCACTGAAAATTCCAAAGCAATTGGTCCAGTATTCGAAGAGAAAAGCGATTTTTTAAAAATGGAGACGGAGACAAATAACAACAATAACAATAACAACAAAATTTTGAAACGATCGTTATGGCCACTAAACGTGTCCAAAAATGAATGGAGTGGCAACTGGCAAGTACATTTTGTTTACTAGTCCGGTTTACTAGTTTAATATACCCAACTTATCTAAATTTTCTCGCCTGTTTTTATCTCTGTTGTTGTTGTGTGTGTGTAACTTAATTTAATTCATGAACACGATAGGCAACTTTTTGGCAAAACCTTTTATTCTTTACGCTTTAATCTTAATTAAGGTTTTGTTTTCACTCCAGATTGTCAGATTCTGTTTAATCAATTTTTGTTCATTTCCTTTATGAATTATCTTAAGCTGATTTGGAGTCAAAATAATCTTATACTTATAAAATAGAAGAGGGTAGCAGAGCAGAGAAAGATGGTGGTACAATATGATAAACATATTACATACCTTTAATAGCAGAAACTAAGGGCGTCCCACTCACTCCTTATCCACCGCGTCCTGCACAGTTGAAAGAGCGGGCGAGTAAATTTGTTATAACTGAGCTCATGATTCTCCAATCCAGTCTTTCTTGGAGCAACCTCCGAGACTTGACAAATATCCTATCTGGAATGAGTAAATAAGCACAATTATGAGAATACATTTAATGAAAAGGTTTCCATTCGTTGCAAAAGTTCTATGTTAATTATCGTGAGCATCTACTCTAAAATATACACATATGTGTTTTGTCCACATCGCATTCGTATAAAAGTGAACAATTTTAATATTGCAATCGGATCGTATTTAGACATTTAAATAATCTTCCTTGAACACGAAGCGAAAATATGGGGCATATTGTATTTCATACATAATTTCGAAGCCCTTCATGCAGTCAAAAACAAAACGACAAAAAATAAAAGGCACTCAATAAGATGAGACCCAGCAAAGGTATTTTCACCTATTTTACTTTCATGTTCTGTTTAGCTTTCGAATTAATTATGGAGTAATCTGCAATATTTTAACATTGTACTAAAACTAAACAAATATTTTGAATCTCAGAAATTTTTACATCGTGGTCTTCATACGATGGCATGTGTTACCGGTCAGCGAACTCTTTTAAATTAATTTTGCTTGCCAGCTGGGGTAAAAAGGTTGGGAACCACTGAACTAAACAGTTAAGTACAACCACGTTGCACCAACGCCCCCCAAACTTACAGTCGATTTTCATCAGAATGATTAAATAGAATATTCAGAATAGAATAAATTGATTTTTAATGTTTTCTCGGTGTGGGGTCGCAAGTATCTGTAGTCTGTGATTTTACAAAAATTGGGGTCGCGGAAAAAAAAGTTTGGGAACCACCGCCGTAAAGTGTCCGTAATCAGCCTATAAAAATATTCAACTTACGAGCCATTTTTTAATCCTTGAATGTATTCTGGATCAAAATGTAATCAGACAATGAATTGACAATGAATTTCATCAATTCCGGTATGTCCGAGTCCACACTATAATCAGTGGAAACTTGCAGATGCCGTAGCTTGTAGCATAAGAGTTTCTACCGCCTGTCCCAACAATTTTGCCATGGACTGGATTGGAGCATGGCTTGATCTCTGAAAATCAAGTTAGTGTTACCCAATGTATAGTACATGATTGTCTTCCAGATGATAAACGTGAACGAATGGCCTATACCAGTGGTCGGCAACCACCGGGCCGCGGCCCATTGCCGGTCCGCGAAAAGGTTACTGCCGGTCCGCAGAGAGGTGACACAATAACGAACAAGGCCGTAATCAAACCTCTACAATATAACCACAAACCCGACGACTAAAAAACAGCACCCAACAGTAAACCAGACAAACACAACACCAGGGGTCGGCAAACTGCAGGCCAAATGCGCCCGCGAGCTAATATGTTGCGGCCCTTGAACGACTCGACATTTAATACATAAAACAAAAATTGATCTCAAATTTATTATTGTCTCTACACGGATTTATGTGGTGACAAGTGCTGCTGTAAGGCGCTTGTTATTTAACAAGTAGCGTCAGTTGTATGTCGTTCGAGTTAATTTTGATTTTTAAAATTTGAAAATGTCTGGGAAACGGAGCGACGAGGGTCGAGCATTCCAAAGTGCTTGAACGGAAAAATATTTTTCTTCCATGCGCATTCCAAAACCGGTTTGCTCGATATGCCCAGTCAGCATCGCAGTTGTTAAAGGTTTCAATGTTATACTCGTTACAAAAAGAGTCGTCGAAAATTTGACCCCGCGACCCGTGACTGAGCCACAGCTCATCTGCAAAACCTGTAAGGTGCACGTTCGGAAAAACATATGGCCTTGAGCAGCTTTATCTAAAATGCATTACACTTAGATTAAATTTCGTACTGGCTTGTCAGATTATCATTCGGACGACAAGTTGCCATAAAAACATCATCTTTCACATTGATAATGAGTAAACAAGAGAGCAATGCTCAAATATATGGACACGCAGAACAATTCCCCAAAAATCATATGCGGTGACCAACGACTAACATACCGGCGGTGACTTACCAGTACCTGTATCGGGGTACCGTGACGGTACAGGGACTGTCATAGATATTTTAGGTCCTGTGACAATTGAAACATCAGTTGAAATATCTCGTGATATGAGTCAATTATGTACCGTATTATCGGATCAGGTACCGAACCACAGTCAAACATTTCACATAAAAACGTTACTAAATAACATGCGTCAACTTAACACCAGCCGAATCGGGGTACAATTTTTGGTACAGTTACTGTCATAGCCGTTTAGGGCTGATGGACAATTCGACTACACGGACAACTCACCAGGCCTAGGGTGGTGTAGCCAGTCTGCGGACAATTTCATTCAAACCGCTATAAAACAAAAACCAATATATCTAACCCGTTAATTTTTTCACCGTGGGTGCATTGGCGGCATTTATTCCACACGCTAAACATCGTATTAACTTTCTACGACAAAGGGTTAAAGCTATACAAATCCCCAAAGTACGGCACTCGAAAGACGTATTTGCGACCGAACGACCAGTGTGCGACCACGGATTTCAAGCCTTAATCATCGTTTCTGCCGCGTCGAGAATATCGCATACGCAGCCATACAGCAATCAAACAGACAAAACACGGTGGTCGCAAATTGGTTGACAAAGATATTATAGGATATATTTCAAGAACACGGTTATTTCGAACAAAACTCGTTAAATTATAAACAAAGCACCACATCACAGCAATCAAACAGACGAAAACACGGTGGCCGCAAATTGGTTGACAAAGATATTATCGACGTATCGGAAATGCACACCCCCTATTCCCCCTCCTTCAAATGTAGAAACGCGAAACTTTCAAATATGGTTAAAAGAAACACAACTTTACCCACCTGCCAAGTTTCATCTTTTTTATTTCTCATATTTGTATGGAATTTCAAGCTTTTGACAGCTACGAGTTAGTTCAGTGTCACCGCGCTGTGTTACGGTACCAGAACTTCTCTATCTTTAGAAGGTCCTGTCTTGTGACAGCGTGAATTGAAATTGCAAGATGGTCCGTTGGACACAAAATGGCGTCCGATATCCGCAGAACGTTTAGTGACGTCATAGCAAACAAAAACAAATCTTACAGAGCTAACAGAAATATTTGAAATAAATAAAAGTAATAGCCTTCTGGAGGAAAATTTCATCTTCAACCACTGAAAATTTCAAAGCAATTAGTCCAGTAATCAAATAGAAAAGCGACTTTTTAAAAACGTGTCAAAGAACAAGAACAACAACAACAACAACAACATAATATTGAAACGATCGTTATGTCCACTACGTGTCCAATAAAAACAATGTATTGTTGGATAATATATCAATAAAACACGCCACATACACGTCTCATTGGGACCGGCTTTCAACACAGCAATGGAAGGACAGTAATGCGAATGCGCCATAATTCGAAGTTTATTTGATGTAGCGATTGTTCGAAAGCTGAAATATTGCGGGCCGCGCGCTACCGGAAATGTTCATGTTTGGCCCGCAGGTATAGGAAGTTTGCCGACTGCTGCAAAACTCTATTGAAAAGCATGTCTGACTTCATAAACAATTGTCATGTCAGTATGTCGCAATAATGCTGGGTCGATTGTTTTTTCTACGCCCATAAAAGAATGTCTCTCATCAGTCCGAATAAAATCTCCCAAACAAAATGATAAAGGCATTGTTAACTTTCCAGAAATCTTATTATTAATGTAAAGCCTGGTTTTCAATATTGATACTTACAAAAACGAAATAGGTTGGATGTGGGAAACACGTTACGTATGTCAATGTCGACCTTATCTCGGAATATGGGAACGGTTAATGGCCATCAAACAAATACAGATATATATCGCATTAAATAGCATCGCCGTCGTTTTTAGTATATATATTGTCAACATAAATTCTCTAATGCGTATAATGTACTGTATTGCATTGGCTAGGTTCGTTTGTATAAAGGTGGTCCGCCAAAAGTTTGGTCATGCTTTACCGTTCCGTCACTTGAAAAAGGTTGCCGACCACTGGCCTATACTAATTACCAGAATATAAATTTTTCATTAATATTAATTACCGTATTTTCCGGCGAATAAGTCTACCCGGCGAATAAGACGAGGCCTGTTTTTAGGCATGAAAAAATGGGTTTTTGCATATAATCGGTTAATAAGTCGGGGTAGTAAAATCGCATCAACGTCGGGAATCTTAAATTACCATGCAATGCCTTTCGAGCGGTCGCCGCGTTTGCGCATTGGTTAAAATAGCCTATAATGACTTTTTCTTGTAGCGTAATATTCAATCCATATATGATAATGCAAATATGATAAGCATTGAAATTCCAGATTCACAGCACGAGAATGTCGATTTATTTAAACTAACCAGATGAGGACGTAGTGGATGCTATCGCCGAAGGTATTTTATTGTCCGGATTCAATAATAAGGCGACAAAAAAATGAAAATGATCATACTCCGATACCGATATATCTAGCTATTGTGCAATATTTTATGGCACAGATATGCAAGGAGCTACTATCAAACTATAAAACAAAAATACCTGTTTTGGGCATTGTCCGCATTGAAACATTGGGATGCTTGAAATGACACAGTGTATGATTGCGTGAAAGAGGGAATTGAAGCAGGTGAATTTTCCAGTCCATTGTCATGGGGCCTATTATAAAAATGGTATATATTATTAAACTTACAATGGTAATACTGACACTTGACAGAATATCTAATCAGTAATAATTATTTAGAATGACCGGAAAAAATGGATATTACACAAAATATGTCCAAATACTTGTAAAGGATGTGTCGTACAATACTTCATGCTTTTAGAGTCGCTGGGCATTGCACAGTTGCATGCACATTTGGCAGTCATTGTACAGAGATGGGCTTCGCCCAGTCGCCCGAATCTTTTTTGCTAACGGTCCACTTTCCAATTCACTTTAAAATATAATAACACTTAATTAAGGTTGGTTGGGTAAGTCTACATAGCATAGGCCTATACCAGGGATCGGGAACCTTTTTGGTCAAGAGAGCCCTAAAATATACATATTTTCAATTGCATTTCCGTGCGAGCCATATAACATTTCTTCACTTAATCAGGCCTGAAACGTTTACTCAAAAGTCAACACATTCCATGTCAATATACATTTAATGTGACTTCTGATGCTGCATGTTGTCGCTGCGGGCCTTGAACGGTTGCTCACATGCAGCCCAAGTTGAAATCTACGATACTCATCACCCTTTTTCGTTTAGGCATCTCCGTAGTATTTTAAAACTCTATCGCTTTGTGATGTCACAATTTATGTTCTAGAATCCCCATGTTTTGTCACAATGGCCGTCTGGTAATTCTCTTACATAACATAGACATGCGCTGGGCCCGCGTTGTCAAACGTATTGAGAATTTTTTGCCAAATTTGGCCATAAAATAGTTTGGAGTCTAATAACAATAGTAAGCTTAATCTTAGAATAATAGATTTTTCTGGGAGCCATATGCCGTCACCAAAAGAGCCATATATGGCTCGCGAGCCATGGGTTCCCGACCCCCGGCCTATACACTAAAAATAAATCATATTATTATATACCCAATATAATTCTATTGAATTTTAAAACAAAATAGATATTATTCAGAAATCAGTAATTTATTTCTCAACAAAGCTGAAAATATGAACTAGAGCAGGGTTGGGCAAAGTTCTCGGACCGCGTGCAAAAATTTTGCGCACCTAGACTGGCTGGCCATGTCGCATCTCCCATGTGTGGCGTAAAAAGTTATACTTCAGAAACAAAATTTTATTTAAAGTGTTATAAAAACAAAAAGGGAAAACAATAATCCTTGAGCTATTCTTTACCCAAAAACATCAAATTTTAGTTTCAGTTTGATTGTGGCAATTGTTAAAACATATTTTAGATTTCAGCCAATTGAGATCTGTGTTTAGATTTGTTGAAATTCATCAGAAAGAAGGTTCACAAATGTGCAACTATTCAGATTATTGGATTAAGTCGTCCAACGGGTTGAATTTGGGCTGCGGAAAAGTTTGCACTTAGACAAATAAAGTAAATATAAAAAATCATATTTAGGGATGAAGGACCAATACCGGTACCGGTACTCGATAACAAATACTCCTGATTATCCGGTTACCATTGCATCGCGCCCGAGTGTTGCTATCGTTGTCAGGCAAGACCCGGAAAACAACGATCAAGGTTCTTTTAATACCGGAACTACCAATTCACTTACCGGAGCCATCTGTGAAAATGAATTATAAATAAGTCTGTCTAGTGAATAATGAATGAACAAAAACGTCAGATTAATTGAGTTTAAGAGTAATTGATATTCGCCCTAGTAACTTAACTGAAATTTTAAATGACTATTTTCACAGTTGATACTTCTATTTGATAAATGCATTCAAAACGTCACGATGATGGAGTTTGCGCGAAAACCTGAGATATTCAAATCCTCACTCTGAACAAGGCTCTGCACAGTGGGTTGCTTATACTTGGAAAACTAAGAATCGTTTGTTTTGGCTCCGCTTGAACTGTGATACAAAGATCAAAATGAGCCTGAGGTACATAGGTCACAGTCGGCCTATTATAAGATTGTATGTTTGCATGACATTTTGAATAAGATTTGGAATTAAATTGAAAAGAGACGAGCCGATGAATCGGTGACCATGCTCTCTTATTTGCTCCACACAATCAATTCCACTGAGTTCAAATCTGAGTCATGTATGTTGAACCGATGCGATTTAACGCTCAATTATTTGAATTGTCTGTCTGTCGTGTTTTCTTGGGTAAGAATTCCCATAAAACTGCATTCATTGTTAGATTTCTACCGAACAAACTATTTTTTAATTCTTAGATGTGTCAAGAAATGTTTAAATTTATTATTATAACCTAATTTGTTTCCGAGTGAATGTAAATAATCTTGAAATGTTAAGCGATTTAGTTTATACAAATATATATTTCGTATTCAGTAAATTTCGGTGAATTACAAAACTGTTCGATACTTTCTAAAAAAAAAGGTTCGTATCTTTAACCTCCTAATATTGTTTCATTTTGGCATATCCTCTCCAAAGCGAGGTAACTCAATTTACTTCGCATATGGGAATATATTTGGTTTTAGAAGATAAAGTTTTTCTTTCCTTTTACACCATACTAAAACTTTATTATTTATTGAAAAAGGGGCTTTTTACTAACCCATAGATCCCTATTTGATCACTTATGGAATCATTATTCAAAAGTTATGGCTTTTTTAAGACAGAGTTTTTTGAGATAGGGCAAATAACGGGCTTTTTCTCCTAATAACTTTTTTTTAGCAAAAGTAAAAACAGCAATATTTGAAACATATATTGGCATTGAAATTCTGCATTCATTGGCATATTACACATGTACATATCACAAGTTGTTCAAATGTTATACGCAAAAATGTGAAGTCTTCAGACAGAAAAAATCGACACTACCAAAAAAAGACCCGAAAAATAAACAATACTACTCAAAACTGTCGAATTGTCTTATATTAGTGTCAGAAACCTAGCCGAAAAATCGACGATGCGACAAGCTATCTAATTTGCATAAAAACCCTAACCCTAGTAGATCTAAACCATATTTCCGATCAAAATAGTAAGACAGGAAATTTCGACAATGCGACCATTTTAAAACCGAAAAATCGACATTGTGGCATTATCGGGCAGATATTTACATTTATTCGCCATTTTGTTTTTCCTTCATGGCCGCCATTTTGTTGTGGATGCGGCGATTGGTAATATAAGTTATTTTTTTGGCTGTTTCTTTTATTATTTCTTTATGGGTTTTAATGTACAAGTTGAAACAGCATTTAAATTACCTTACTACCTATCGTGATAATTAAATCTTACTCGACTATATTTACGAAAATTTTAAGTTTTTTTGCCTATACCATATACTATGGGCAAATCGAATCTTTCCGAATACAGCCGTGTAAGCTATCTTTTGATTTGGAATTGCAAGAAATATCGAATGCTTGTTTAAATATTGAAATTCATGGAATAATTCCTGAAATATTAGCGAAAACATTTCAGTGTTAGTTATAATTAAAAATGCCATCTTTGTGACTCTATGTTACAAGTAGTTGTTATAAAATTCCGCCTCTGGCAATATTTATATTAACTAAATTCACGAAAGTTACATATTTCTTGGATAATTATCAATTTTTCGTCTTTGATGATGGCTCTCCATTCTAATTTGAATACTTTAAAATGTAAACGATTTTGTCAGAGTGAAAATACCGGGTAACATAATTTGCTTCCCATATGGAAATATATTTGGTTTTAGAAGATAAAGTTTTTCTTCTATTTACACAATACTGAAAATTGGACATTATTACAAATCTGTCGCAATGTACGGGTACGGGTAGAGGAAGGTGAAGAAGAAACCGAAACCGAAGAAGGAGAAAGAAACTTAATATTTGTTTTTTTACCGGCTGTGGCAAAATAATTCGGTGGCAGAAACGTAGACATTTAATGCAACCACACAATATCCCTGAGTCCGAAGTCGAGAGGGTATATAATGATTTTATTTAATTTAATATTGTAGTAAGAATTCTTTGTCTTCTTTCTGGACGATTATTATTGCTGAAATCCATTTTATCGCTTCTTGGCTATTCAAATTTCGTTTCCTGACTATTATTATTGCTTCCTGTCATTCTGTATCGTATGCAAATATTTACATCATATTTATTTTATTCAATTCTACAGATATCTTTACCGTCAAACCGGTAAAATAGATTATAAAAAATATACCAGATGCACCATCTGTCATAAAGTTAACTTGCGAGCAACTTTGAGACGACATCTGAAGACCGTCCATAAATTATGAGGAGAGGAGTTGGACGGAACAGTAAGAAATATGATGCGAGAGTCCATATACTATAATGTGAGTATACGTTTTCATTATTTCATAAGCACATTCATACATACATACACACATCCCTATCGTACAAGAAACTAAATATTTTGATGTTACTTTCTTTTCAGGTACTCCAAAAGTATGAAGCGGCTCTTCAAAAAGGGGTTTTCAACCAAAAAGCAAAAGACGGAAAAACGGCAAAATACGCAGTGAACGAGCTTAAACTGTATTTCAAAGGTGGGACTCCTACAACTATACACCAGCTACTGGAGACGAACAGCGAAAAGTCTCCGGCCCTAAGATACCGCCATCTTATAGCCATTAAACACTTCTGTAAATGGTCGGTGTTTAATGGCTAAACAGTAGCTGGTGTAGATTTTGAGGAGATCCGTGATGGGATAGATTTAGCCCAAGCGTCTGCTAGCAGACAGAAGAAACAGAAAACGTCCCTAAAAAACGTTACGGACCAGGCAATGCTTAACCTAGTTTTACAATTTCCAAAAAAAAATAATTTATTTCCCAAATAACTTTTCAGAAACATATTACTCGACGAACATTCACAAAAGTTAAAAATTTTGTTTGCCAAACTTTTAATTCCGTTTACTTACATTCTAATGTAGGATGTGTTAATGTTCAGCATTTTAAATAGGCCAAATTGTTATAGATGCAAATAAAAAAATTATGTTACAATTCAACTTATTATTAGGGCTGGGCATTCCGAATCGAATATTCGAATCGAATCGAATAGTAAATTATTCGAATCAGTTCAAAGCGAAATTTCGAATCACCGCCATCTTGTTTTTTTCCTTTCCGCCAATTGTCGAAGTAAATTTCTAATTTTTTTTTATGGAAGTCATATTTTTCAACGCAATTCTGACATATGACTCATTTCTGTAATGAGTTATTGATGAAAACGTATTTTTTATTGTGTGTGAACGCTCAGCAATCTGTCTGAGTGATATATTTTACGTTTCTAGTAATTTATGTGTCTGGAGGACCAAATACAAGAAGACGGTTACATACAATTATATATCTCCCAAGTATTCGAGATTCGATTCGAAAAAAATATTCGA